ACGAAAAGGAACCTCGAATAGGCTAGGGCTTCTGAGAACCCTAAAGGATGAGAAAGGCTTGGAAGCCACGAGAACGGATCTGAGTTGATAAGGTCGAATCCAGGCTCAAGAGGCCAAGATATGCTGGAGCAAGGCCGGAAACGGCCAAAGAATCTCGAATCGACCAAGGTCTGGATGAAGATCCTTGAGGTCTAGCCTCAAATCTTCAGTGAGCAGGCGTGTGGGAGTAGTAGGTGGTGAGTAGAGGTCGTCCATAGTTAGATTAGCCATGGATTCCGGTGGTTTGAGGTCGAAGAGGGGGTAGGCGGCTATTAGGGTTTCAGGTGGGTGAGAGCGTTTGAGAGAGACGAGGGATTAGAGGCAGCGGACTTTGAGAAAATGGGGAGGGTTTGGGGGGTCGTTTAGAATTAAAAATGGTAAGGGGGATCCTGGGCCGTTGATCAAAATGATCAACGGCTCAGATTAAAAGGGACACGGGCCGGTTCGAGTGATTGGGTGTTGGGTCGGGTAGATTAGGAAATTGGGTTAGGGAATTGGGTTCAATTTGGGGCTGAGATTGGGGCCCAATTCCGGTTAAAATTGAAATGCAAAAAGGGCTAACTTTTAAATAGCCACTTTTCCCTTATTTAATTTATAAAAAATAGCAAACATAATTTCTGGAAGTAAATCAAACGTGCTAAAATGATTAATAATACATAATTATCAAATTAAAATACTGGGGCCAATTTTATAAATATAATTACAATTAAATCTTAAAAGGGGCTAATATTGTAATTATGTGCAAATTAATTTGAGAAAATACTAAATAAATTTGTAAAAAATATGCAAAAAATCATGTTAGCCATATTTTTGTGTAAATATGAGAATAAAAAATAGGTTGTCCACCAAAATGATAACTTTGGGAATAATTATTGGATTTTATGGTATAAAAATAGGCAATAAATTGGTTTTAAAAAATCATTAAAAATTTGGTAAAGTACCAAAACTCTTGTGTGTGCTCATATATGCACATATATGTTATTTTAAAAGTATTTTGGGTATAAAAAATATTTAGGGAAAAATTGGGTATCAACAATATGAATTAAGTAGAACTGGATCGAGTAACACTAAAGCATCTCTATAACAGATCAAAATAATACTTGTAATGACTGTATCTGATGTGATTGCCTAAGTTCTACCAGGGAAAGCATAACAGGTCTGGCCTCCCTTCTATGACGACCTCTACCCACCTATCCCCCACCTCTAGCTGGCTGTGCAAGTGTTGTAGCATTTGGAGTTGGAATCATAGCCTGGGTAACCTACTGAGGTGAACTCATCTAAAGCCCGGGATGATCTCTCCATATGTGCCCCACATCACCACACTCATAACAAGCTCTCTGAGTGTGTGGCTGCTAGAACTGAGTCTGCCCCGAACAACTTGCATAACCGTTGTAAGAACCCCGTGAAGGAGGTGCAGTGAAGTATGACTATCCAATACGAGTTCTCTGAAATCCATGGCTACCTGGAGCACTGCATGAAACTTGAAGTTCAGACTGAACTGGTCGACTGACAAAGCCTCTGATATAACTTAGAAAAATACCTAGGCAACAACGTTGGCAGATGAACCAAGCTCGGATAAGCTCTGTCATATTAGGCTCCAAGTGAATCAAATATGTGCCCCTCCATATCATAAATAAATATGCTACATAAGAGTTTTGCTGGTAAAACATAAAATATACTCGTGTAAGTCGGCTAAGAGTAACATTATCTACTGAAAAACAAGTTTCATGAACTATCCACAATATGTTTCAGCACTAACGTTTCTTTAAATCATCACATGTGATCTATAATATACCTATCTTTGCCCCAAATTAACATTTTGCAAAAGAAGACAACACTAAAAAAGGTAAATCGATAATATTACTCTAGACAAGTATGGCACATAAATGCCATTTAAGAAATGACAGAATATTTATGGTATTTACGAGAGTGAGCTTGCAACAAGGATAGAAAAATAAAAGACGATGATCATTACCGATTATTAATGAAGGTGTGTATAGGCCGTAGGGAGGCTGAAGCTAGCGATATTCATAATGCAGCCAAAGAAGGAGACGATGAGATATGAATAGTGTAATACTTTGGTATTGACGAGTGTGAGTATGCTACAAGGATAGAACCGCTTATTATTAATGAAAGTGCTCATAGGTTGTAGGGAGGCAAAATTGAGTGATGTTCATATGTTGTGAGGCCATCAAACGGTGATGAGGAAACGAGAAGAGTTTAGTATTGTGGTATTGATTAGAGGAAGACCACACACAAGACAGAAAAATAAGGAACAACAGTAATTATTCTTTTACAAATAAAGGGTTTATAGTATGGAGGCATATATAGAAGCAAAAACTGCTCATAGTGTGAATAACAAATGTAAGGAGGAGGCATGAACAATTCAATATTGTGATATCGAATAGTGTGAGTATACAACAAGGAAAGGGAACGAGGATAACGATTGTGTTTATTATCTCCGCAACTCCATTTTACGTGTCGATATGAGTAATATTTCATGACAAAATGATGGAGGACCTAAAATCAACCATTAGTACCTTTGGAGGTACATTTTAAGTATCCAAATGCAAATAAAATAATTTAGTTTCAAAAGTTTAATATGATAACAAACAATTACATTACAGTTCTATTTATATTTCATATTTGCTTCACTTCCTCAAACAAAACTAAATCACTCAACAAAAAATGTTGACTTCGTTCCACGAATAAACGAAGAAATATGCAACATAAATTCGACTATTAACTTACAATAATTTTTTGCGTTTAATTAAAAATTATATGTGCTTATTATATATGAAAAATCATTAATATTTTAAATAATTTCGCAAAAAATTAACTAAGTAATCAGAGTAAAAATAAATATTAATGTCTCTAATTTTAATTTGTATTGATATAACTCATAACTCTTTAAAAATCTATTATTATTGTACGGAATTTAACAGACATTGCACGAGCATGGGTTTAAACCTAGTTTCTCGTATTTTTACAACACTGTTTTGCAATTTAATAATTTATAAGTTGGAGATCCCCTTGAGCTCTATGTCGGGAGGCTTACCTTCGCTTTATACTAGGTAAAATGCCTCGTTGACCAAAAAGAAAAAAGGGTAAAATGTCTCGCCCTTGCCCTTTAAAGTACTGGTTTAAATAGCTAATTGACATTGCTATTAAGATTTTCTAATTTTAAGAAATACTAGAATTATTAATTCTGCTTTTTTTTTAAGTTTAAAAATATGGAAAAGGGCCTCAAACTGCCCCTCTGCTATATGAAATAGGACAACCTAGCTCTCCGTTAAAAGTTGACTCCTTATTTGCCTTGCCGTCTACAAATGGGCTCAAAAATGTCCTTCTCCACTAAGGGGAGACTCTAAAATCCATGTGGAATTACATTTGGCTTGTTAAAAATCCCAAATGTAATTTAAAATGCCACATGGATTTAAAAATACCCCAACCCCTCTTATTTCCCTACCTCCTACCCCCGGGCTCACCCCCAATTTTCACTTAATATAGTCGTTAGGTTAATTCTACTTACCAGACCCTTTCCTTCCCCATTTTCATCCCAAAAGCTTCTCCCTCAAAAAAATTGACCTGCATTGATGTCTGATTTCTCCTACTAATTGGGTCACCTTATCGATTTCAAGTTGGGTTCTAGTTTAGTCTTTTTCATCTTTCTCAGTTTGTTTTTGGAGATTTCTGCAAGACAATGTTGTAATGTTCGAGTAACTTAAATGGGTCGATTAGGAGGTGTCGTTGTGGACTTGCTGCTAATTATTTCATGGCGTGGACCCCTTTAAATGTTAGGAGAAGGTTTTTCAAGTGCCCTAAGCACGAGGTAAGTAAATTTGTTGATGGGTTCTTTTAATTATTTCGATTTGCTTGTAATATTATTTTTTTTGGTTTTAGGATGAAAAATGTTCCTATTGGGAATGGCAAGATGAGGAGCTTCCTCCTAGAGTTTCAAATCTCATATGCAGTTTAAAGAAGGAAAAGGAAGCTCTAATCCGTGAAATAAATGTACTCCAAAGGAAAGTTGCCGATCTTGAGAATGTTATGATGCTCGTCGATCTTGGAGGAATAGAATCCTTGAAATTGGAAAGAAATATTCTAATGAAGAAAGTGGTTGATTTAGAGTACTCAATTATGCGTGATGCACACATTAGCAATAATTCTATAGTCATTGTACAACTTCATAGCAGTTGGACTTATATCAGAAGTCCAACTCATCACCTTTTTTTCATTGTCTGCCAACATGTTCATGACTTTCACCCTTTATCCTCCAACATTTTAATAATTGGTTTGTGCCTAGCTTCAAGGATTCAACTATTAAATGATTCAGTAAAATTATTATCAACCATTTCATTCTTACACTTTGTATTAAAATAGGCCTTACACCATGCCCGGTGTGGATATTTGAGTATATCTTTTGCTGCTTCTTCATCCAATTCCTCTAGCTTCTTTAGTTGGTCTTTGAACTCTTCCTCATCAGTACTCCAGGCACACCACCATAATAGTTTCTTTATTTCACCACTCCTCCACTTCTTCATCCAATTAGCTTCAATATGTCTCACACAAAATCTGTGATGTGCATCTGGGAGTATAGTGCATACAGCATCCAAGAGCCCCTACAATTTGCACATGATAAAAAAAATATAAAAGTATCAGTTCTGTTTCAAAGAAAATATCAAAACACATGAAAATAATATATAAAGTTCAGCAGGTTTAATTGCCTTTAGCATGTCAGAAATGAAAGTAACATTTGACCCAGTTTTCAAATCCAAAGACAACTTCAAATGCTCCATAAACCACTGCTAGGTCCTGCTATTTTCTTTGTCCACAACTGCCCAAGCAAGTGGATAAAAATGCTTTATACAGTCTTGTCCAATTGCCACCAGTAACTGACCCTTGCACTTTCCTTTCAAGAAGGTACCATCCAAACGAATAAGTGGTCTCAAACCATTTTTTCAACCTTTTTTTAGAGCCTGGAAGCAAGTGTACATTCTCAAAAACCTCCTTTTTCCTTCTTCAAGTGAATCCTTTGATAGGTTAATTACAAAGCCAGTTTCTGGATTTGTATGTCTAATTTCTTGTCCATAAGCTTCTAACTTGTTATACTCATCTCTAAAGCTGCCCTCTAGCCTCTCAAGGACCAATCTTTTAGCCCTTTTTAGCTTACTTTTAGATACATTCATCTGAAAGGTATTCTCCAACTGCCCTCTCATATCTTTTACAGCATACTTAGGATTGTTCTTCACATGCTTCTTGAAATACAAAGCTAAAGTTTTGTAACCAGCTCTAGGATTATCAAAACAGTCATCACATAGATGTTTGAACTTCAATGTTTTGATTGTACAAGTAGATGTATTCTTATCCTTTGAAACAAGACACACAAATGGACAACCAGTTTGACAAATGTATCTAACTCTAGTTGTATCACTTTTTTTGACTTTAAGCTTCTTCTTATTAACTAAAGCATAAAAGCCCACCATCTCTCTTGCTTCATTGATGTCCTCGAAGGACATTCCCAGTTCCAACTCTCTATAATGTTCAAGCCCATTAGTCACAACTCTTCTTTTTTCTATGCCAATTCCATCAAAGTCATTACTATCATTTTCACTACCTTCCATTTCTTCTAACATGTCATCACCAAGTTCATATTCATAATCAATCCCAACATCAATATCAACAATATATGACTAAGTGTGATGGATAATATTTGGGATAGACACACTAAGACCATACTCATCGACGACAAAGAAATCAATCACCTTGAACTCCTTAGATAAGAGAAATTTAAGTACCTTAATTCCTTCCTGATTTTCTGCCAAATAATACCTACCAGATGCACCAGTTACCGGCAGCTGCTTAACAGTAAGATACCCTAGTTTGGAAGTGAATTCTTCACAAATGTCCTTATAAGAAAGTGAATGTGCATCATAGCGAAGCCAAGAGTGCAGAAGTCTTTATTGTAGACTAGTTCAGGTGAAATGACCCAATTGCCACCATAATGGAATAAAACATCAACTTCTTCAATCATCTTCAATTAACACATGCAACAAAAAGAAAAGGGCAAACACAAAGGGACCACCTCAGCGTTGAAAGCAACAGTTCAAAAATAGAGTTAAACCGTAAAAAGGAATTAAAAAACACCAACCCCACAAACAGATTCATTCTGAGATTGAATTAAAAACCCTAAAAGAAGATTCATTTATTTCGGGACCACCAACCCCACACAAACAGATTCATACTATAATAAACAAACATATAAAGACACAAAACATGTGAATAAACTAATGAGATGGTCACAATACCAAGAAATGTCACATGCATCTATATTCCCCTTTTCTAACTACAAACCTCTACAGCTCTATTTAAATGCAAATAAACACAGTAAAAAAACTTACCTTGACAAAAAACGACAGCTTCAACACCAAATCTTCAAGCTTCGATCGGAGATGAACACTGCTCTAGTACCCTAGCTCATCGTTCAATTTGGGGATTTAGTAGAGAGAGAAATGTAAAATGGTTAAATGGCAAAAAGAACGAGGGGTTAACTTATCAATAGTGGGTTAGGTGAAAATTGGGGGTGGGCCCGGGGGTAGGGGTAGGGAAATAAGAGGGCTTAGGGTATTTTTAAATCCATGTGGCATTTAAATTACATTTGGGATTTTTAATAAGCCAAATGTAATTCCACGTGGATTTTAGAGTCTCCCGTTAGTGGAGAAGGACATTTTTGAGCCCATTTGTAGACGATAAGGGCAGATAAGGGGCCAACTTTTAACGGAGGGCTAGGTTGTCTTATTTCATATAGTAGAGGGGTAGTTTAGGCCCTTTTCCGTTAAAAAAATATTATTCTATATGTCCTAATTCGAGAGTCAAATATGATTTTTTTAATATATCTTTTTAAGTATTATGAATGTTAATTATTGTGATTTATATTATTTTTTATATTTTATTTGAAAAAACTCGGCAAGATTAAGAGGGAGTATCTTTTAAAAAAAAATTACTCCTGAGATTAAACATTACTACTATTGTTGTTTGTCTACCTAAGATGGTGAAAGGGGATCTAGAAAACGCCATTTCTTCTCTTCCCCCTCTTTCCTTCCCTGTATATTTCGCCATCGTTCTTCAGAGGAAGCCATCAGAAGCTGTTGGAGCTACAATTGAGTAGAGCAAGGACGAGCCGTTGTTGCTAAACCAATTCCGTCCTCTGCCATTGTTGCAACTCTCAGTCCAGAACTAAGGACGAAATAACAAAAGGACAGAACTGTCAGGGTCGCACGCTACGAATTGGAGAAGTGGTTCTGTAGGGAGTATTTGAAAGAGAAGCCCTTTTCCTGCAGTACTAGTAGTAGTTGGCGGTGGTTGGGTGGTTGTTGCTGAAGAGAGAGCGAAAATGTGCAGGAGGTTCATGGAGATCCTGAGCGTGTCTCGCTCTCAGCAGATTCAGTAATATGACGAGAGCTGTACTGGCATTTCTCGCCTTCTACGCTGCCGTTGCTAGGGTTTTCAGCCGTCGCCATTTCCATTCTCGAGCCCGATTTTGACTTTTTTCCATGACTACTACTAAGCGTGCTTATAAGCTACGTATCCTTTTCATTTGTTTTATTTATTTTTTGCTTTTTCTCGAAAATGTAGTTTTGATCCTAGCGAGAGATTGATATTTTCTTAATCTCTTGTTTACTATGCTGGAAAATGTGGAGACATACCCTTGAGTTTGCTTGGATCTAGTGGATGGAGAATAAAAATAGCATCATCCTTCTCCATAGATCTCTTGTTGGTTAGTTGAAAAGCTTTGATTAGGTTCTTAACATTGGAGTTAGTTTCTTTGGGTAAAAAGGTAAAGAAGTCCAGCCATATTTTGGAAAACCTTGATAATACTTTGTTATAGAGGAATTCGTAGCGCATTCTTTAAGCGTGAACTGCTTGAAGATTGGACGCAAGTCATCCAGGGTTCTTGTAACCGGAGGAGAAGATCACAAGGTTAACCTTTGGGCCATTGGCAAACCCAATGCCATCTTGGTCAGTTTCTCACTTATCATCTCCTTTTGCTGTTATTTCATTTCACGTTTGTCTATCTGCATTGAAAGAGAAGCTTTTCGAGTAAAATGCATTGAAACTTAAGAATGTGCAGCCGAATCTGCTGTATTAAATGTGGTGGCTATGTATTTACGCATGGTCTTCTTTGTGTATTTGTGTAGAGTTTGTCAGGTCATTCAAGCGGAATTGATTCAGTCAGCTTTGATTCTTCAGAGGTGTTGGTAGCTGCAGGAGCAGCAAGTGGTACTATCAAGCTTTGGGATTTAGAGGAGGCCAAGAGTATGCTTGTTATGATACTTTTCATTGGGGATAAAAATCATTTTCTGCTGTTTAAGAAATATATTTATCTCTCTCTCGCTGTCTCTCTGTCAGTTGTTCGCACGCTCACTGGACACCGATCCAACTGCATATCATTGGACTTCCATCCCTTTGGCGAGTTCTTTGCATCTGGGTCTCTAGATACAAACCTAAAGATATGGGATATCAGACGCAAAGGATGTATCCACACATACAAAGGTCACAGTAGAGGTGTCAATGCCATCAGGTTCACTCCAGATGGCCGATGGGTTGTATCTGGTGGGGAAGACAATACTGTCAAGGTCAGATCCCTCACTTTTATATTCCAATTATTCCATAGTTATTTGATTATAAAGAGCTTGACGAAATAATCCATGCGAGAAATTTATGTAGTATGCCTGGACCACAGAGTTCAAAATAACTCGCTGACCAAAACCAATATACTATAACTTAATAAATATTCACTTTATGTTTGTGACTTCAAACTTGCTGCATCCTACTGAGACTATTTTGCGTTAGATAAGTCTATTGCTAGCTTAACATGTTGAATGGATGATGACAACATAAACTTCTGTTAAGCTCTGTATTTTATCCATTTCCATGTCAAGGAAAAAAAGAAAAACCAATAGCCATGTCTGTGGCGGTAATAGCCATCTCATATTTTGAGTAGTTCCCTTCATCTCATGTGCACTAATCTTCTTCTATGATAATAGTGGTGGACATTATATCAGGTAGATGTATGAACATTTAATCACTTTTTTCATTATTCTAATATTTTGATAATAATTCAATTTTGTGGCAGCTTTGGGATTTGACTGCAGGAAAGCTTTTACACGATTTCAAATCTCACGAAGGGCAGATTCAGTGCATAGACTTTCATCCCCATGAGTTTCTACTGGCAACAGGTGTGCTTAAAAGCTTTGACATAGTGTTACATTGTCTCTTTTATCAGAAGGGTTAATCTGGTATTCAAAATGCTGGTCTTATTGCTTGTGCATTATACTGGCTCCAGTAACTTTAGTTGTGCTCTTGAAAATGAGATCTTCAATGCATGCTATGTTCTGTGTAGGATTTAAATTTGTTGGCGATCTCTTTCCTAATGCTGTATAATGTCGGATAAGATAACTGAATATTTGAATTGACTGATGACGTGTTTGTACACAAAACCCAATGAACTTGTAGAGGACGACATTTGCCTGCCTGTTCTTAGTGATCTAAATATTTTTTCAGTTTGAAACTTTTTTTCCTTCCTTTTTTTGTTTTGACAATAAATTTTTTGCTCTCACAATATTTTAAGAAAAAGTGACTCGCTTACCAACCACATCAGTAGAGTACTCCCTTTACCCAAAATTTTGTAGTCCATGCAATTTTTTTTTCTGTTTAAATATCAGTAAATCATGCAAACTTTTCAAAAGTTAAATTGAGCTTCCTTTTAAATGCTTAATTTTATTTAATTTATACAGGATTCTAAGCTCTCCCGTGATACACTTTTCTTGTAGTTTCTTCTGAACGTTTTTGAAGTTCTGTCCAAATGGCTTTGACGAAAGCCCAGTTTGGCTAGTAAAAGTCAAATCTGGCAAAAAATATGAGATAGAGGGAGTGTGGCAAGGAGCACACTTTATGTAACATAGGCTTATTATTCCAACCATGCTTCTCTCCAAATTGGCTGGGTTTGGCTATATGCACCCTCTGTATTCATTCTGCTGTATTCGGGTTGGTTTTCTTCCAATACACTGATGTAGCGCGTGAACAGTTAAGCATGTCCGGCGAATTCAATATTCAAGGGAACTAGAAAAGTTTGCCTATCTTTTGTAGACTAATATATACATTGTATTGAAGTAATGAACATTATTAAGAAAATTTCCATTAGTTTATACTCCCTAATGTTGTAAAATTCAAATCTTGAATTATGTATTTAAGGTGTTAAATGATTAATTCATTATATATCAATTGGGAGTTTTTTGTTTTAAGGTTCTTTAGTGTAAAAGGACCCCATTTATTCTTTAATTTTCTTTTGTGCCCCATGGAAAAGAATATGTTTAATAAAGTAATGATTTATTAACAAGATAGAGAGAACCCTGCATACAGGATGCACATGGAAAAGAATATTAAGATAAGTAGAAAGGCAGAAGTACTGTATGCTGTTAATCAACTTTCGCCATATTGCTATGATTGTCTAAGTTCGAAAGATATACTTTCTTTGTCTCTATTTATATGGAACTTCCCTAAAATGCTTGACGACATTCTATAATAATATTGTCCTACACAACTTTAACCACTTTCAAGAATTCATATTGTATTAGGGTAGCCTGGTGCACTAAGCTTCCGCTATGCGCAGGGTCCCGGGAAAGGCCGGACCACAAGGGTCTATTTTACGCAGCCTTACCCTGCATTTATGCTAGAGGCTGTTTCCACGGCTTGAACCCCTGACCTCTTGGTAACATGGCAGCAACTTTACCAGTTACGCCAAGGCTCCCTTCTCATATTGTATTAACTATTTAAAATCTAAACGGTTTTGTGATATTTTTCTCTTTTAATCAACCTTTTTAGCTTTTCAATACGACTGTAATATTTTCTTCCATTACTCATAATATATTATATAAGTACAATTAACATCTTAAATTCCTTTTCCAATGAAACACCGTCATATAAAATGAGACGAGAGTAGGAAAAATTGTAGAAATCAATTGATGTGCGATAGTAGTCATGCATGTAAGTTGAATACACTGATAATTTGGTGATGGAGCTTTAATATTAGAGGATGTGCATATTAACAAAAAAATAAAAAACTCAAAGCATTTATTGAGGTTTTGGTCCAGTGAAATTCAAGATATACCTAAAAGACAAATATAACTTATTAGGAGGGTTGGATTGACTTATTTTAAGTGCTTATTGGCTTTTAAGCACTTTTTTTAGTTTGTGTGGTGTTTGACAATGATAAAAAGTGCTTAAAAGCACTTACTTTTAGGCATAAAAAGTACAAAAATAAGCCAAAAGCCAAAAGTTGGGTATTAGAGGGTGTTTGGCTAAGCTTATAAGCTGGTCAAGCTGGCTTATAAGCACTTTTTGGCTTATCTACGCGTTTGGTGAAATTAAAAGTGCTTATAAGTTAAGTGCTTATAAGCCAAAAATAAGCCAAAAGCCATAAGTTGGTCTCCCCCAACTTATCAAATTTCTGCTTATAAGCACTTTAAGTTTGACCAAAATATTTACTATTCTATCCCTAAAATACTTCTTTTCAAAGCAAAACTCTTCGCATACCCAGTTCTTCAGCTGCATATTATTAATTTCAACACTTTTATCCAAACACGTAACTGCTTATTTTTTAAATCAGTTTCAGTACTTAAAAGTGCTTTTCAGCACCTAATGCTTATCAGCTACTCTAAATCAGCTAAGCCAAACGGGCTCTTACTAACTTATGACTTTTGGCTTTTAGCTTAAAAGCTACTCCCTCCGTTCCAGTTTATGTGAACCTATTTCCTTTTTGGTCCGTTCCAAAAAGAATGACCCCTTTCTAAATTTGGTATCAATTGAGCTTAAACCTACAATTCTACCCTTTATGAGAAGCTTTTGTAACCACACAAATACTCTGAGCCCCTTTTTGACTTGTTTAGGACCACAAATTCCAAAAGTCTTCATTTTTTCTTAAACTCCGTGCCCAGTCAAACAGGTTCACATAAATTGGAACGGAGGGAGTACTTTTTATAAGCCAATCCAAACACCCTCTAGATTATATCAAAGATTGAGAAGTAGTCAGTTTAGTTCTGAGTATGATGCTAGAAATA